TTAAATTCAATGGAATAAATTTTGCTTCAGCTAATGTTTTGGCAAGCATAAGCAACTAGCTTCCAATCCTCCCCATGAGAAGAACACAATGAGCACAGATAAGAATTTTTCTCTCTACTCTTTCTTCCTCCACTCTACCTAGGACAAGAGTGACTAAGTTTGATATGGATAACTCAATTGTTAGATACATAAAAGGACAGACTACTTGAAAATCACATTAAATTAAGATAGCCAGAATTTGAGTGATTCAGTGTAAAAATTCCTTTGTATTAATTAGGCCAATTCCCTCAATTTCCTGGAGAATACAGCTATGTGTTAGGGGCCTGTCATTAACAAATTTTTATCTACTTATATAAGAACATGCACTTACATTGCATTGGTAATATAGGAAAAATATCTTTCCAAGAATCAAGCTAATAAAATCAGGTTATATATTCTAATGTTTCCCGTGGATTTTTGAAATTCAAATGCAATCTTTCAGTTGAATTCACTAATTTTATGTATTAAAATAACTCTCAAATTTATTTAAGAAAGGTTATTTCTCTAAAGAATTTCAACCTTTTGCATCTGTTTTAGGATTAAACCAAAAGTTGGGAGTTCCAATTTGAGCCAGATTTCTTCTTCTAATGTCTTCTAATGGTCCCAAAGATTTAGAATTATATAGCTGATAGAAAGATTAACATATTCTTGAAATTGACTTCCATTATTTCATTAATGTTGAAAACAGCTGTGAGTGCTTAATGTGTTCTAGACATTGTGTAAGTGGTTTGCACAAGTTATTTTACTAAACTTTCATATACATACACACACTTACAGAAACTCTATGATGAAGGTGTTAGAAAACTAAAACCTTAGAATCTTAGAAGAAAGGGACTAAATGCAAAAAGAGACTTGTGTAAGGTCACTCAGATAGAAAGTCAGAATTTGAATTAGGTCAGTTTGTATCTAAAGTCTGTCTTCCTATTTGCTGTACTGCTTATTCCTATTTATTATCATCGTCCTAAGAATTTGTGTAGAAAGTCAAATTTGCTTTTGGGGTTTATAATTCTGAAAGAGTTGATAGTATATATTTTTTCTATTCACATAACCTGTACTATTGAAGAAGGAAGAAGAGGAAAGAAGGAAGAAGAACTGGAAGAAGAAGATGATCCTCCAAATTTTTATCAAGATGAGTGCATTTATCAGGATTCATTTGTCTGCAAGTAATAGAAGCTCAGCTAAAACTCACTTAGGCAAGCAAAGATGATTTATTTCTTCATGCAACTTAGCTAGTTTAGGCAAAGTTGAATTCAGGTACTCAAATGATGTCATGAGGAAGCTGACTCTGCATTTCTTGACTCTGCTTTCCTGGGGGTTCATTCTAGGGAGACCTTTCCCAAGTAATGAAAAAAATGGTCACCAGTAACTTATTTCAGATTCACATTCTATAAGGTTGCAACTATGCCCAAATATCTTATTTATGGGGAGTGAGCATCAAGAGAGAAAAAGAAGAATAACAATTGGAGGTAACAATCTCTATCATGAAGTAGCTTGTGTTTCTGTCAAAAAGGGACATTAGGTGTATCTAAGCAGTCTCAAAGCATTTTTTGAAAATTTTATTTTATTTATACTTTATATATACACACAACATATATATTGCCATACATATGAAATATTAATTGCTCTATTTCATTTGCTTTATTCCTTCTCTTGTAAATTAAAAGTAGGCATTAGAATCCCTCCATATGGGTTTGGCATCAACTCTTTATTTAGTAAGTACTGCAAATCACAGGGGATTTCTTTTCCTCCAGGCAGACTTGTTTCCTTTCAAACATTAATTTTTCTTCAAACAACCCATATTGCCTATATAGAAAGCTAGAGAGGCCATGAATCTTTGTTCTTTGCATATCATAAGTTTCTGAGAAATGTAGCATTTTCAGATACGTTAGTTTAATTCTGAATATCTATTTCCATGCACATATACTTCACCAAAAGCAATATATTCAGGGCCCACTTTGTTTTGTGTGTATGTTAATACACATACCCATTTATAGCCATTAATAAAATATTGGGATTTTTATAAGAGATACAAATTGTTTTCTATACCCTTAAAACAGGTTTAGATTGCACATTCAACAAAAGCTCTAATAATCCATATATTCTTTAAGGCATATCTATCATCTGTCTATCCCCACAGAGACCAGATATATCTGATTTATGTTGACCACAAATTCATTTTTTCCTTAAGTGATAAATTCTCACTGTGTGCCAAATTGAAATGTTTTTGGGCAATTCAAAACTAACATTTTACTGTTAAGGATTTTCCACTTTTCAATTTTTTTAATACTCTTCTTTCTATTGTGGGCACCTGGGATTCCAAAGCCTCTCTCCACATGTTCTAGTGCCCCTCCATGGGTTGAACAGTCTCTTATTAAAGTTTATGGGTGTTTCTGGATGAAACATGGAGATTGCCCCAAAGAAACTTCTATGTGTGGAGAATGAACTGCTAACATTAGTGTATGTTCCTCAGGCCCCCAGTACCTGCAACCCAGTGCTTTAGCAGCTAAACAAATTGCAAAGCTGGTTCTGAGATAATGTGATATTTTGTCTCAGATACAAGTTAACAGGAATTAACTACATCTAATACATCTAAGTTCAGCACATATGATGAAGAGCTAACCTATGTTTTTCCTGTCATTAGATAGATACTGAAATGGGAATGGTAAACACTTAGGCTAAAAATATAAAAAAGTTCTGGATGACTAAATTTCATGCATGTAACAAAATATTAAGGAAGACGTTTCTTGTAAGAAAGGAACTTATATACCAAGATATGCTATATTTTTGACTTAGAAAATCACATCATATAATAGTGTGAAATACTAGAACAGATACTGCAACAAACATCTTTTGCCTTAATTTTACGGAAATCTGGGGTTTTGTTTGCTTGTTTTTACAAAAACTGCCAGGCAAAGCCTTCTGTCACTATACAAGATAGTGTCCTGTGTTTTAGCAATAAAGTGAGCCAGAGTTCAAACGCAAGAAAACACCCATATTAGGAGACACTAATGCAAATGCTACAAGGTGATTAACACTCTAAAATTAACAAATGAACTCTTGGGTTCCTATTTCTGAGTTATATCTTTTAGCTAAGAACATGTAGTGGATAAAAAATATATCTTCTGAGTAAGAGCAAGTGGACAAATACTCTTCTCCCCTTTAATGGCTACAAAAAGAAACAAATGCTCATAGAGATGTGGTAAAGATCACATTCCAGCCCCAGTACCTTGTATACTGGAATTGGCCTTACCCTGTGAGCTTCATTTCGCTCTACCTGTCTAGGATAGGGATAGTGCCTTTTCCATCTATGCATGGTGAGCAGTGGATAATTAATTATTGAACCAAACCCTTCAGCAGCATTCAAGCTGTAACTACCCCTTTGCCATACCATCTGAGATTACTAGAGGGTTAAAGCCATAGGCAGTTGCCTAAAGCTCTCCCATGGCTGACTGCCCCAGTACCATACCATCACAATGAAAATCTAGGCAGGGAACACTTGTAGCTGAAATAAAAGGTCATATAGTCTTTTATTCTCAAACTCCATACGTGGATTGGCTTTAAATGCCCTTTAAATAAATATGTCAGAAGAGAACAGGAGAACCTTTCTGGAAATGTCCAAGTGTCATTAAGATGCAGTCTGCAAGAGTCCAATGACACTTAATTTCTTATTTCTGATGAAAAATAGGTGACCAAGTCACATGCACACAGGCAGATATTTCACACCTGTATGCATAAACATGCACCTTAGAGGTCTATTCTTGACACAAAGAATAGATCCATTTTAAGGAAAAGTAAAACTCAGCTCCAAAAGATATTCCAGTAGACACTGGAATCAATTATTTATTCCCAACATTTTAAGGTGTGCACATCCTCATGTACAAAGTCCCTGTTGTTGCCCTGCTGGTGCCCCTGGAGTCCTTAGGTCTGTGTTTGCTGATTAAGTCCTGTGTCACAGAAAAAAAAAAAAACAAAACGGAAGATATGTGGGTGAATGTTGGGCTCCAGCAGAGCCAGGCTTGAAGGCCCAAGTTTTCTTTGTTTTATAGCAGTATCTGAGACCCTCCTGCCCTAAATCTTCCTACCAGGAAAGAGAGAACAGATTGGCACAATGGCCCATCCTGCTGCAGAGCCAACCGATCCAGAAAAACTTGCACTCCTGTTTCCCCAGTGCCTTCACTGGAGAGCAAAACATGCAGATACATTTCTCTGGATGTGGTTAAATACTATGTGCACTTTCGTTGGAAAAGTGGCCTCTCGTGGGCAATTATTTCGCATGTCTTTGAGTTTTACAATTTAATATAAAACAGTAACCTTGTGTCTCCCTCTCCTCCTCTCTCCTCCTGCCTAGCCTATCTGGAGCCCCTTTCCAATCAGCCCCAACCCCCTCCTCCCTGTCAGACTCTGAAGTGTCACTCACAGTGTTTTTTTATGCTTCCAACAGTTTCCAAAACAAACAATGGAGACTGTGACCCGTAGGGTATTCTCTCAGTCGGATGCAATAGTATCTCCCAATCCCAGCGGCCTGAGCCACAATTGGCGGCAGGTCAGCTCCCTAAAAAGGCCCGCGCTTGCCAATCTCTGTACTCTGCCAGGTCCTGGGAATCAGGGTTTTGAAGACTGATGGTCCACACATGTCCACTGGGAGGGAGGAGACCACAAAAGGAAGGGGGACTAGATTCTAGAGGACTTAGACTCCAGTTTGATTTTCCTCTCCTATCATTTTGTCTATTCAAAGAAAAAAATATGTATATATAAAAATTACACACGCACATACACACAGACATACGGAGATTTTTTTTCTTTGAATACAGATCCAGAAATTATTTTTTGGATTTGGGTTCCCCTCCCGCCCCCCTTTCCTTCCCTCATATCCACTCTGTACCCTCCCTCTCTCCCCTTCCCTCCCTAACCTAGCTCAGGTTGAAACTTTGCTGTGCAAATTCCCTTCCTCCCCTGCAGGGATGGCTCTGAGCTCTCGGGCGCACGCCTTCTCTGTGGAAGCCTTGGTGGGGAGACCCAGCAAAAGAAAACTGCACGACTCAAGAGAGGAGGCGCAGCCTGAGCTGCAGGAGAAAGAGGGAGAAGAGGAAGAGGAGGAGAGAAGAAGCTGCGCTGAAAGGAAGAGCGAACAGCCCAGTAAGTACCCCCACTCCCCTGAGCCGGCCGCCTGCGAGGGCTGGATCAGCATTTCACTGCTTGGCTCGCTGCGCTGCGGAAAGGCAGCTAGCCCTACCACAGAAAACGTCCTGACCCAGCCCGGACAACAGCACTGGGGGCTGCGGGACACCTTGGCCACCTGGCTGTAGGGGAAGCTCCAATGCCTCCGAATCGCCTGGAGTACTGCGGTTCCTTTGTGGTGAAGGGGAGGGTCCCTAAGTGCCTGTGGAGAAGTGAGGCTCACCCCTCCCCGTACCCCACCCCCCTCAAAGCCCTGAGAGCCAGAGGGTCTCTTCGCTGTACATCGTGGTTGGAAGTAGCACTGGTCCCCAGATGCTGTGGGGATCTAGGCTCGGATATGAATGTCCCCAGGAGAGTGAGGATGGACAAATCTAAAAATAATACAAAACAAAACCTAGGCGGGGGAAGTCGCACCTTGGAAGTCATGGGGCACAACCTCCGTCCCTCTCTCTCCATTAACCGACCGCAGAGGGTGTTTGTGAAACTTAGTGATCCACCCACAGCGTTCCTGGGGAAGGAGCAAGGCTCGCATGCTCCAAGATAGGCGCCAGCGAGAAGGGGGTACGCGAATGTGAAGCTCTCTCAAATTCTGGACTTCTCTGTGTCCAGCAGAAAAGCAACCAAAGACAGAGCCCTCAACAACTGCTTTCTGGGGCTGCAGCGGCAGCGGCGGTGGCGGTGGCGGCGGCGGCGGCACCCGCGCCAGCGGCGGCACCAGCGGCGGCGGCGGCGACTGCAACAGCAGCAGCAGCGAAAATCTGGAAGAGAAAGAGGTTATTCAAGCAGAACTTCAAGGATCCGAGCTGTGGAAGAGATTCCATGACATCGGGACTGAGATGATCATTACCAAGGCGGGCAGGTTAGGATCTGCCCAAGCTATTCATAAGGGTCACATACAGTAGGCACTTAATGTACTCCTCTGGTAAGATGTGGAGTTTCCAGTTTTATGCTCTAGTACTCCTTCACCCCTTCCCCCCAACTACCTGGCATACATTAGAAAGCCATGGCCCCTCAATTTATCGGGCTAAGAAGCATCATATAAGCCCCATATAAGTGGCTCATTCTTCCTTTCCTGTACACTGTGACTCCAAGAACTCATTCCCTCAGCTCCTGCCAGTATAGAGTAGGACAAAAAATAGACCTTCCCAGGCAGGTTCCAGATGCTACCCCCACATCTTAGACTGTAGCCAGACGTTTCAGTTAAAGCCTCACAGATATCAGTGAACTATATCCCATCTCAAAGGCCTCGCTGCCCACCGTCCTTAGCCCAGGCCACTTTCAGGGGTGGCCTTTCACCTTTTGGCATGGGGCAGCCCCGTCATGGCAGGCAGCTGGGAGATTTTGTGTGTGTGTGTAAGTCTTCCTAATTTCAGCCTTTCCCAAATCTGCCTCAAAGAAAATGCCGCTGAAAACTCAGGGAAGGGGGGGGGACAACTTTTTCTCCCCTATTTTCTCTTCTGTAGCTTTTTATTTTGGTGTGTGTGGGCAGAGAAAGGACAAAGCCTTGTGGTAAGAATATTCTGCTCCATTCAGAAATCCAGGACTTGTTCAAGCAAGCCTACAGCCAACAATCTTTACTCATGTAGCAAATGCCATTCCCTGAACCTTCCCTGTATAGCCAGTCCCTTCCCTTTTGGTGAGTCAGCATTTGTCCAGGAGACACACACACACACACACACACACACACACACACACACATCCCCTTCCAAATATCTCTAAATGCTGTTGGGTGAGTCCAGGCATCCTCAAACTACGGCCCTCAGGCCACATGCAGGTGTTTTTGCTCGTTTGTTTTTTTAATTCAAAATAAGATATGTGCAGTGTGCATAGGAATTTGTTCATAGATTTTTAAACTATATTCCGGCTCTCCAACATCTGAGGGACAGTGAACTGGCCCCCTGTTTAAAAAGTTTGAGGACCCCTGCTAGTCCCTATTTTCTTTCCCACAGGCGGATGTTTCCCTCTGTTCGGGTCAAGGTGAAAGGGTTGGACCCAGGGAAGCAGTACTGTGTGGCCATCGACGTGGTGCCAGTGGATTCCAAACGCTATAGGTAACCGGGCCCATAGGATGGTACTTCCAGGCCCAAGCTGGGGTCTGGTATTCGGCTCTTCAGACTTGCAACCTGACAGCACTATTTTGAAGACTCTAGCATGGGTGGTGGGGTGGGAATTGCTCTCCGGTGGGCTTTGGGAGTTGAATTTTCTCATAAAATTGTGGTTCAGAGTGAAGGAAATGCAGACTTGTTCCTTTCTCCATCTCTCTTCCCTCCTGGAATGCGGGCATCAATTAGAGCTTCAATGTACCCCAAGCCTTTCACCTACCCACTTTAGCCTTGGCTGTATAAACTTAGATCATGTGGGCTCCTGTGGCCAGGAAGGAAGCAGTTTGAAGGAATTTGGGGAGAAATGTTTGAGGCTTCATGTGAGCCAGGACTTCTGGGGATGTACTGGGTCTGGGCTGAGTTGCTTTGGCAGCAGGAGCCCAGAAGGATGACATGATTTGCCACCCAACGTTAGTCTAGCGGTTATTGTGCCTAAGCCTATCTTTTCATCCTTCCTTAGCCTTTTGCCTGAAGTAGTGGTGGGGTCCGAGAGGATACAAGAACTCTTTCCTCTTTATATAAGTCCTCAGTTTAGAGCAAGCTAAAAGCGACCCAATTGGGGTTCGAGAGCTGCCCACACGCAGGCTGTGAGCAATCCACCCAGTGGTGGATACCTGGTTTCCTAAGGAGGGAGTCCGCCTTTCGCCCATTGCTGGTTTTGAGGGCAAGAAGAAGGTGCAGCTCATGAGCCTGCTGGGGCTGCGGCTGCGGCTGAAGCCTGGAAACAGCAGAACAAGCTGTTTGCTTCTTGAGTTTCAGCTGTCTTGGGAATTCTGTGCAACCTCAGACAACTGAGGTTGAGAGTGGAAATTGGAAAAATCAGAAAATCAGCCCGAGGCAGCACGGGGCAGGATTCCTAGGGTTTTCTGCATGTGAAGCCTATTGGTGAAAAAACTTTCAGGACCACTGGTGACAGTGGGCTGGACAGAAACCCTCTCTAGCCCTCCACTTCTTCCCCGACACTTCACGCCAGCTAGTGGATTTTTCTGGCATCTCTGCGCGGTAAAACGAGTTAGATCAATTTCTGTTGCGGTTTTTGTGAGGAAATACAAACCAGACTCAGAAATCCCATGACATTTTATTTGCCCTGGCACTTCATTGCATTTTGATGACATATGCTTATTTACAGTTTGTTTTCTGCCCCTGAACGCTCTTTGGAAATCAAATTGGATCTTCTGCTACTTGCCTTTGGGATCAGCAGGCTAACCTTGAGCGAAGCCCTTAAGACGCAAATCCTGCAGCCTGCCTCCCACGCTCCTGGCTTTGGCCCACTGCGCCTAATGTCACAACCCACACCTTTTCAGGTACGTGTATCACAGCTCGCAGTGGATGGTAGCCGGGAATACAGACCACTCGTGCATCGCTCCCAGATTCTATGTCCACCCGGACTCGCCCTGCTCGGGAGAGACCTGGATGCGGCAGATCATCAGCTTTGATCGTGTGAAACTCACCAACAATGAGATGGACGACAAAGGCCACGTACGTGAGTGCAATACTTTGCTCTGAGGAGGGAGATGCCGAGGCAGCCGCCCACTAGTCTCCCTAGAGAGGCCAAGGAGGCTTCTCCCAGATGCACATGTTGTGCTCTTTAGGAACTGTCCAAGCTCTTGCACCTGTGAGTAAAATAGCCAATTTACAGCTCCTGAAACCTTTGTTTGGCATCAGAGAGTGCTGGCATTGGGGATGGTGAGCACTGGGAGTTTGAGGACCAAAAGAGATCTGTTTAAGCAGAACGCCTACTCTGGGAGAGACGGAGGGAATGGTTCACTGGGATTTCTGGCAGTCACTTAGACTCTGATTGCCTTCCCTAGACCACGCAGTTGGATTGGCACCTTCTTTGTGGTGTGGTGTGGTGTGTTGGGAGGATGCAAGCAGGGAATCCAAGAATGCTGTCTGGAACTCTCTCCCACAACTCGCTCCCATGGAAAACCTTTTCAGGTCGAGTTGGTCTTGCACTTTCTTCCTAGGTGCACCCCTGCTTCTGCCCTGCCTGGCCTGGTATTTTGCCAGTCAGGAAAGAAGAGAGGGAAACTCCTGCGATTAGGACATAGGGAATGTCAGAAGCTTGTCCACCATGTCCAGGCTTAGCAGTTACTGCGAAGGAAACCCATGGCAGACTGTCAGATCCTAGTGACACTTCTACATCTGATGGTCACTCACACTTCAAAGCAGAGAAGGGCCCCCATATGGAAACGGAATCAAGCTGCCAGATGCCGCTGAGATGCCTTTCTCTAGAAAAAAACTTTAGCACAGAAGGCCTCTGTTGGGGGCCAAATGGCACAACAAAGGCCTTTGTGTGTGGCTACCTGAGCCTCCCATTTAGCCTCACCTTTGTTTTTGTGTTTGCCTCGTTGGGGGTCTTCATGAGAGGAAACCAGTTTTTCTGACAGTATCTGACCATTTCTCCTCCAGATCATTCTGCAGTCCATGCATAAGTACAAACCCCGGGTGCATGTGATAGAGCAAGACAGCACGGTTGACCTGTCCCGGATTCAGTCCTTGCCCACTGAAGGAGTTAAAAGTTTCTCCTTTAAAGAAACTGAATTCACCACGGTAACAGCTTACCAAAACCAGCAGGTAAAGCTGGCCAGGTCCCAGGCAAATGGGAATGGCCCCAGAGGGACCTTGGGATAGAGGCTAACTGCACTCTACAGATTGCATTTTCCACAATTGAAAAAAAAATCATAGCTGTATTGCATTGTCATCAAGGCAAATTTGATAATGAATTATGTGAATCTTGTGACAGAAAGGAGAGCAGAAGAAAGGGAGCCAGGAGATAAAGGAGCTAACCATTCCAAATTTGGCTTAGCAATATGCTTATATTTATTTAAAATGTCATGTTATACATTGCAAAGTCTTTTGTGGTTGTTGTAACTATTGGTGATTTTTTGTTGCCTTTGAGAATGACTTTATTTTTCTATCTATTTGAACCCATAGATTACCAAACTGAAAATAGACAGAAATCCTTTTGCTAAAGGATTTAGAGATCCTGGAAGAAACAGGTAAGCAACATAACAATGACATCTCATATTTATATAGCCCTTTCATAAGTATTAAAGATAAGGAAACTGTGGTTCGGAAACTCAGAAGCTCTAAATTTTCTAACTAGTAGGTGGTAGGAAAGAAACCCAGATGTTTTGTCTCCAAAACCTTGCCTCTTCCCACACCCTACTCTACCCACTTTCAAGATATTGCTTATTTTAGAACCTGGGTTTGATTGAATTTTATTCAGAAGTCTATCTATAAAAGAAAATTATTTCAAATATATAACAAAATCACTCAAAAGTTTATGAAAATCATTTTTGGAAACTGCATTCCGGGGTTGCTGAAAGTTGAATCTCTTTTCTAGGGGTGTATTGGATGGTCTTTTAGAGACATACCCATGGAGGCCTTCTCTCACTCTGGATTTTAAAACCTTTGGTGCAGACACACAAAGTAAGAAAACTTATAATCTTCAGTTTTATTTTTACACATCAATGAAATAACAACAGCTAGGACCTTTATACCAAATATTACACAAAAGAATAAGTACATGCCAAAAAATGTGTGTTTACATGCTATGGGTGTATATTTACCTCCATGTGGAGGTAAGAGGCAAAAAGGGGAGGAGCTGGCATGAAGGAAGAGAATAGAGTTGCAGTAATGGTAGACTTAATAGCATTTGTCTTCTTGAGTTATCTTACATCCTGAGATTCCCAGATCTCATCTAGATTCTTCAACATCTCCCTGTCTCATATTCTTTAGGATATGCCTGTGGTGAATTTGTGAACTGATTTGCAAATATGTTAGCTATTGAAATAAATATTTTATGTTTTATGAGAAATGTTCAGCACATGTTAAAATTATTTCCATTAAATTACACTTATCCCTAATTTTCATTTTTTTGTTGATAAGGAAAAGAAATATTAAAACTAATACTAAGTCATCAGAATTAATTTAGTTGCCACAAGCATTTAAACATATTTGGAAGGTATTTGTTCTCAGTATGCTATGTGACTAAATAAAAATATTTAGATAATATAGGCTTTCTGATGGAACAATGTATACCTTCATTTATTCTGATGTTTAATAATAAACTGAAGAATTTTATTTGCAAACAATATGGAAGTTTTTTAGCCTCTTTGTCTTTTTTACTCTATTAAAGTTGCTTGTCTTTGAACAATTAATTCAAGGTCATAATTACCAAGCAAATGTACATTATAGTTGAGTTGAGGTTTACATGATCCCATAACAACCAGCTAACATGTGAAGAAATGAAGTCTAATAGTTTCGTGAAATATTTTACTGGCCTGACTATATTGATGTGTTTAGGGAGTTACACAGAAAAATATGAATACTTATTTTATGATATCAATTTAATAGCATCTAGGCAGCATGCTTTTAAAATATCTAAGTCAACACAATGGTCATTAATAAAGAAAAAAGTTGAAGATGATCATTAATTGATAATTTAAAATACACAGTTTTCTGAATTCTTTAAGATATCCAGAATGTTCTCAAATTGGAAAGAAAAGAGTTACCAATTTTTAAGATAACTTTTGAATGCTTTATTATAAAAGATATTTGTTAACCTGTTGATGAAGGATTAGGCTATGTCACAAAATAGTTCATAAAAACAATAGTGATACAAAAAAAAACCTCTATCAAGTCCAGTTAATAAGCAATTATTTGATTGAATTCAAACATTTACAAAAATGAAGTTTAGATTCTAGATTTTTTTGGACCTTATAATTATCCCTAATTTTAGTTGATGCTAGGCAACCATTAAAGATCACTGGACATCATTGATATAAACACTTTCTTTCTTACCTTGTTTCTTAACTTCCAAAATTATCTTCAACTCTTAATATAGTGTGCCATGGAAGTCTCCCCATTCATAGTTTTTATATAAGGAAAAAAAAGCTAACACTTTCAAATATATTATTTTCATTTAAACACGATTATTTTTGTGTGCACTGGGTTTTTATAAGAACAAAACTGTCTATAGAATCTCAAGCAACCAAATTGTTCAATTTACTTAATTACTTATATTAGTTATTTTTTTAAATTTAAAAAATAAAAGCTAGTTTGTATTTCTAAGATATAATTGACTATGAGTCATAATTAGGCTTTTTTTGTAATTCATTGGATAAGTGTGATTCAAGTACCTAGTACATCCTTGAGCATACCGAATGCTCAGTACATGGTTCATAGTAGTATTGCTAAAAGCAGCTGTGGTAGTAGTACGGATATTATATTCAACTTGGTCAGAGGAATGAGCATGTCCTTTTCCATAGAAGGTAAAAGAACTGTGAATTTACTAGGAAAGCTTATCTAAGAATAAAGCAGAAATGGTGATGGATATGATTTCTTATTCAGCAGGAACAACAAATTCATTGTTTATTGACTGAATTGTCATTTACAGGTGGAAGCAGTGGTTCATCTCCAGTGACCTCTAGTGGAGGGGCTCCCTCTCCTTTGAACTCCTTACTTTCTCCACCTTGCTCTCCACCTACGTTTCACTTATCTACAAGCTCCCTTGGAATACCCTGTCCGGAGGCATACCTGCACAATATCAGCTTGCCTCTTTGCTACAAGATTTGTCCAACTAATTTTTGGCGACAGCAACCTCTTGTTTTACCTGCTCCTGAAAGGTTAGCAAGCATCAACACTTCTCAGTCTTTGGCCCCTCTCATGATGGAAGTGCCCACGCTATCTTCCCTGGGGGTAACTAATTCAAAATGTGGTTCATCTGAAGACTTCAATGAGCAGCCTGCCAATCAAATTTTATATGGATTACGGACACCTGGAAATATTTTGCCACCAAACCCTATTGACCGGGAAGCACTTGGTTGTTCCTTCCATCCTTCCTACGGCTTTTATAGGTACAGCTTCTCTAGGCCATCTAGACTGGTAAATACTGCCAACCATCTCAAAGTGAATGACAACAGTCAAGTTTCTTTTAAAGAAGGCAAATGTAATCATACTCATTGGTATCCAACAATTAATCATTGCCTTTAATGAAACAATCACATTCCTAAAACAATTACATGTAAGCACATATTTTCTTTATTTGTAGACAAAGAAATGTCAACAGATATTGGGCTTAAAAAGCATCATTACCAGATAGCATTGCTCTGTTATGCATCTAAGTGCCTTATCAAATGTTCATGAGGAGTTGTTTGCAATGTCAAATGTGACCTGTAAGCATCTCTGATTACAGTGGCCTTGGACCTCGAAATAAGATACTCAGTAAATATTATTTGATGAGATAGCCCACCAGTGAAAATTGATGCCAAGTGATGAGGTTTCCAATTATAGTGAAGTCAGCTTACCATGCCAACTGTGTTTTATATATTGACAATATCCAGAAGAAGATGGATATAATTCCTGTGAAAGCAGTGAAGCAATTTCAGTTTGATCTAGGAAGACTGGCTTCATTGTAATTACCTATCTAGTGATTGTAGAAGAAAATTTAATTGCTCATTTGCCTTATACCTTTATACTCTGTTGTTGAAGGAACTTCTAATCTCAATTTTAAGGTGCAAAGAAGTACATAAACTTCCAAGTATTATTTGTATTATTCTCTGTAGGCCAAAGACCATTTAATTCTGAAGGAAGAAGAAGATCAAATGAAAAGCAAAACATTCTAAATAAATTTGATCTTTTATTTCCTTTTATTTTGGGATCATTCCTAGATGAAGCTTGTTTACTTATTGCTTTCACAAACTTGGTATTTTACATGCTGTTTACAAAAGCAAATTATTATTGTTCTCCAAGAAGACTAATACAATGTTTTGAAGGGGAAGAATAATACATTTGAGTCATAAATATGAAACCAGCATTACATTTGTACAATTTAATTTCACTCCTGTGTGTCAGTCTTGGTAAATTAGACTAGATAAAAGTAGAATAAAACACTTTATTTTAGTTTGTGAAGTTGAAAAGCTTCCTTTCACCAGGCCCTAAATTTCTGAAAAGAATTATGAAGTATAACACACACATATATATATGTATGTGTATATATATATAGTCTATATATCTGCCAAGGCTCTTCATATCAAACTGACATGACTTGATTTTTAACAAATGAACTAAACTACTTTTTCTAACTTTTCCAACACATATTAGGAAAAGCATATAATTATTACTTATTTTTTCCCAAAATGATTATTTCATCCTAAATATGCTTTATAAATGTGCCTTCCTATGTATGTGTTAAAATTATATGTCCTTCACTCCTGGAGGTAGGGATAGAACAGCACATGATTGCATTAAAACAAAATATTCTAGTAAAGATGAAATATTATTTGTGACCTAAACTAATTAGATACTTATTTCAAAAGTCTTTGAGACATAATATCTGTACTACCTAGGTTTATTAAAACAGGGAATAAAAGTGAAAAGCACACTTTATTTTTGTCTACTCCAAAACAGGAAAGCTATAGGCTAACTTTCACTGGTAAATAAGTTATTACTTTTAAAGCAGAAACTCCTATATCAGATTATAGTGAAACATTCTGAAGGCCTACATGGGAGAACCTCAGTAATTGACATGAAAAAGTATTCAACTGAGAAATTCAAAAAACTTCTAGGTTAATTTTTAGGGATTATTTAAATGAAGGTCATTAATTTTGTAGCTGCTCTGGAATACATACACCACATGCTTTATGTTTCACATAACTTTACTATATAGTACACATATAAAACTGATAATATGAAATTACATTGGTAATGGTGATTAATATAAAGGGGCAAAAGTTTAAATGCTAGAAGCTAGGCATTTATGACATTTAAGCTATTTTATATAACATCACAAATTTTAATTTCACACTTCTAATTGAAGAAGTAACCAAGGAAAGCCTTCACAGAAAATTAAACTTGGAAGAAGCCTCAAGAGGTCCAGTAAGCAGTCTGTTGCTTCCAAGCAAGTTGCTTATCTGAAGAAATCTGCTAACAGCTCTAATTCATGTACAGTAAGTATTTAGTGCCCTTAACACTAAATTCTTACTCCTTAGTGGATGGTGCAAAACTCACGTAACTTGGTAAATTGGGGCTATGGTTATGGAATAACAAACTACTATGGAATTCTGTCACTTTCCACTGCATCAACTAAATATTAAGCTTGCTTTAAAAACCTACAAAAAAACAAAAGCCACTATGGTTAGACTAAGTGTGAAAGAGTTACCAAATGAAAGTGGCCAAACGACACTTAATAGACCCTCAAGTCTAATGATTAAAACCTCTATTCTAATATGCTTTGATCATATATATATGTGCACCTCTTCCCCCCTTTTTAAAAAGAGAGCAAATTAATTCAGCTAACAAAATTTATAAAATATGATTCTTAACTTGACTTGGTTATTTGACTTATCCCAAATAAATCTAGGAAAAATAAACTTTTCATCAGCTCTCTAAACTTTGCACATTCAGTTAGGACATAGGTGAATGTTACTTTATCATTGCACAATCCTCAGTCAAGTTCAGACCTGTAGCCAGATTTCCTGGTCAGGAAGGTATTATTTTGTGGTACAGTGTGTCAAGCTGAATTTAAGGGCCTAAAGTGTGAACCTGGTTGCAGAACACATGTCTAGTTGGATAAATCCTCTATTCATTACATTTTAAAGACCAATATATAATTGTAGGTAACATAAAAACAGAAACTCAAACTCTTTCATAATACTATCTCTTTTCACCATACAGACCGGTTAAACCCTCTGGAGATTATTTTAAAATCCAACATATAATTTTAGATTATATAATTTTAGAGCCTTCAAACTCATTAATATCATTACTCCTATTTACTATGCTACAAAAATTAAAAGTTTATTTTGCCGAAGCTATGAAGTGATATTTCACTGCTATTAGGCATCAGTTCTACATATGTTCTGGGAATGGACATGACTTCATTCTTTTGTGAGGGAAACATGTCTGTGATGTGAAAATAAATGAACCATTAGAATCAACAAGAGATGACTCAGTGATAGTCTTTGAATATCACAGTCCTATGTGCTGACAACTTGACAAGGTGCCAACTATGAATAAAGACAAGCATCTGCACTTGACATTACAGAAGATTTCTGTGTCATACTCCTAATCATTTTTATTATGCACTTTGGGGAAAATCACAGTGCACATAAATTAGGTAATATGTATCTTTGATGTATTACTGGTGTAATGGTGATACAGAACATTACTGAGATAAATATTTTGTATAAATATTTAAAATATTTTTTCAAAAGTCTACAAATATGCTGATGTCAAATTTAGATGCTTTAAGACAATAGAGTTATATGTCTATACATACAGTAGGGTAATATGTAGTTGTTATCTCCTTACTAAATCTCACTAACAAGTATTTTCCATATCTGAATATGTAGTTTGATAAATTCCAGATGTCACACTATAAAATGTGTATATATTAAATATATATACACACATAAATATATGTATAATATGTGGTATTTTAGTTTAGTTTTGTTTTTAAATAATTTACACTGTTTTGTTCTCTCCACTTCTTAAAAAGAGGTGCTACAAAGAACATCTATTCATTGCATACTTATGCTATTAGTTATATACACTTATGAGAAATGGCAGATTTAAACATACTTAGAAATGTCTATTTGCATGTACTGTACTTTGTGAATTGAATTGACAGGGTGAAAGTACAATATTTTTACTCCAATTTAGAGGTATGTTGCCTTTGTGCTGAAAAATCTTCAATTAGCCAAAATAACAATAATGTCCTGGTATACAGCAACAGTTTCCCAGTTGATTTTACTGGAATTTAACATGTTTATTGGAGCAGTTTAAAATAAACCAAATGCATAGCTTAGGCAGTTGGCTTTGATATAAGTGCCTTGGTATACATTTAATCTTCTTAGGGTTGGTCTGCAATTAAATGATAATTTGTATTAAAACTGTGCAAATAAACATGGTTTGGATGACAACATAAAACAGAATAGATACAATAAACATTTGAAACATACACAGTATTAAAACTACTTACATGTGTGGTACTAGCCAACTTTTGACATGCTGTTTCAATAAAATATTGAGAGGAAAAATACTAGTATCATTTCCTTTCAGAGTTTCAAATGTTCATGTTTACAAATTTGTACTTCACATTAATATGTAAACACACATTATAGTGAGCAGATGTACAGAAAATAGTTGCAGGATCTTTCTTATTAGTTTAAATGTATTTACATGCCTATTGGCTTTATTTTTAAAGTGCCTAAAAGAGTTGGGAAACTTAAAGTTAAATATAATAGAAAATTTTGAAATTATACTAAGATAAGTTGTATCATTAAACTTTTTAATCAAATTATTATATCGTTATTGTTAAAGATGGCAGAATTTTGATTTTGGATTTAAAATCACATACTTATGCACATGATAAAGTATAACATAATAGTTTGGTTGTAGAGAATGATGTAATTAATTCAAAATGTTACTAGAACGAAAAAGGAATAAAATCATGAGTCTATAATGATTAAAGGTTAATGTCCTTAAATATTTTGTATTGAGCACATAATTCAGTCTATCTTTCATTTCATGGTCATTATTTGGAAAATGTTGCTGTTTTAGTATTTTATCCTTATTTAAATTTTGCCTGAAATTAAGTTTTCATATTTCTTTTATGACAAAAAGATTTTGTGACCTTTCTACCAATTACACTAATCTGTAATCAAACTGGTTTTCTACTTTATTGGATTTCATAGATTTTTAGGAAAAAATTGTTTCATAAAAATATCAACAAATAAATTACTCCTTGGAAGAGGCATTGGTTTTTCAGTAAGACTCAAGGTGAAATAGAAAAGAACCTCACTGCTACATCTACACTGACATTGTATTTGGTTTTCTTTAAGTGAATCCATATACAGGTCAAACAGTGTTTGTTACGTTAATAGCTATATTTTGCAAAACTCAGGCTGGATTCTCTTCAAATCGGCATACTAGACAGGAGAAGGAACTGTTTGGCAAAAGTATCATCACTCTGTAACTTGTCCATGCAATTCTTTTCTATAGTTGTATGTTAGTGAGACAGGAGTAGGGATGGGGTGTAATATTTCAAAAGACTCTGTGGGTCCTAGCACCACATATATGAGATTAGGATAAAATAATTCAGTGTTTGCATTCAAGTGTTGTAACAAAATTTAGCAGTTCTCTGGTTGTGATGAATGAGGGCCATTGCCCAGAGCCTTTGGCTATTCAAGATACAGGGTCGTCCAGTGGGTGGTGGGATAGATTGTACCAGGGGATACTAACAAAAGCCTAAAGCTTCACACACAGTTACTATGTTATATTTTAGTTTAGTTATTCATATGCAAGCCTCTCCTACTAGATTGTGAGTTAGGAAGAAATGATACTTTTAAAATAGCATTTACTTATTTCCCAATTTTTAAAAGTTTACCTGTGTATTATAGAAAACAGAAAAACACAAGAAGAAAAAGAAACAAAAAGATCATAAATCACAAGCAGTTTACAGTTTGACTTCTAGTCATTCTGTATGTCTACACATAATTGAGCATTTTTATATGCTTGAGGTCACACAGTATAAATGGTGCTTTTTACTATCATGAA